GTCCCCCCCCCAAATGACCCCTGATGACAACACTCAAGAACGTATTTCTCACGAATCCTGAAGCTCCACCTTTGGCTGACACAATGTAAGCACAATGGCAGTAGCTGCAAATGGCAGATATTTTCTTAGATCATGCATATGGAGCCATGTTTGAAAACTCACTGATGTAAAGAGAAGCCTCCTTGCTAACTGAAATAGGCCTCAATCTGTACTAGTCTGTCCAGTGCAAGTTAAAATGCTGTTTTTGACCTTTACCTGCTACAATCAGTGTTCCTAAAGGGAACATGGTCCCTCTGAGATTCTTCCTATGGTCATCATGCGAGTCTAGCCTTTAGGAGCCATGGCCTGGTGAGTCTCACACCATGTCATGGTAGTCTGCCTTCTGTTAGACATCAGTTTAATTAGCTTCTTGTCATCAGTCTCAAAACAGTGGGAGTACCCCATCTTGTTGAAGCAGTGGACACTTCTAAAAATCTTGAGAATGGGCTTGGTGCCACCACCAAATAGCAGGTATGCTTGTGGTTTAACTTAATGAAGTCTGCATAAAATGGTAAATGGTGCTGCTGTTTCCAATTACTTATACAGGCATTGCAGTTTGAGGAATGAGTTGCTGTGTTGGGTAGAGGTTATAGTCATGGAAAACTAATCACACCTGCATCCTCTCAGAGATAGTGCAGTACTCTCACATTACACTGGTAATCCACCCACTTTTCCAGTAACATGCTTATTGCAATGAATCATATTGCGTAAAGCAACCATGTTGCATGAATCATATTGCGTAAAGCAACCATGTTGCATAAAGCATTCTAAAATGTGTATGACAACACTCAAGAACTATGGGCTACTGGGGCAAATTAAAAAACGGTGGAAGGTTGCAAACCAAGAATCCTCGTATTGGAGAGTTATTTTTGAAAGGGGCATTCTCTGCAGGTGCAAATTTGTTACCTCCTCTTCTGAATCATTTCCTGTTTCAGTGGAGTGGAGCAAGATCGGGAGCCTCTCAGGAGCTACAAGCACCCCCCCAAAAAATATCTCCAAAAAGCTGCTGCTATGGTCTGTGTAGCTCAGGACAAAATGCCACTGGGACTGAAATCACCGCCTCCACAAGAGGTTCCATGAGGTATGTCACCTAGTTTCTTTCCCAATGCAGCCCTTCTGTCCAAGAAGCAGCTGTTTGAAGGTGACAAGAGTTTAGTGGGAGAGGCAGATGCATTGGTGAAGCGGTGTCACAGAATCCAACCCAAAGTCTGGTGCAGAATTACATAAGAAGTTATTAGATACTGCAAGATAGTCACTGTACAATGCCTTCTGGGTAAAAGACCTTCATGCTGAGAAAAGACAAACTGATTAGCTCGGTAAAGGTTTCCCTTGCTCGAAAGCCAGTCGAGCCCGACTCTAGGGTTGCGGTGCTCATCTCCGTTTCAAAGCCGAAGAGCCAGCGCTGTCCGAAGACGTTTCCGTGGTCATGTGGCTGGCATGACTAAACACCAAGGTGCACGCAACGCTGTTACCTTCCCACTGAAGTGGTGCCTATTTATCTACTTGCAATTTCTTGCTTTCAAACTGCTAGGTTGGCAGGAGCTGGAACTAGAGACAGGAGCTCACTCTGTCATGCGGCACACTCGGGTCTCAAACTGCTGAACTACTGACCTTCCACAGCCTGCAGTTCAGCGTCTTAATCACTTGAGCCACCGCAGCTCCATGATTAGCTCAGTACAGAATCATATATAGCTTTAAAAAAAAAGTGGATACATTGGAGGTGCAGAAGGATATATGTGAAAGCAATAGCAGGCAGATTTTTATGGAATGACAGGGCTTCTTACAGGCGTTTTACAGGAAGGGAAATTAGAAGCAGTTGCCACTCATTCAAGTGCACATTTACGCCAGTACAGTAAAAAAAACCTGCGCAGTGCACCTGCGTATAGATTACTGAGACCTCATATGTACTCTGCGCAGTGCACCTGCGTATAGATTACTGTGAGACCTCATATGTACTGCTTCCTAATTAAGGACTCACAACAAGCAGTGTTTGGGTTATAAAAACTTTATGGGTTATTAATCAACATGTCACTTACCTGTACTGTCAAGTGGTATATTTTCAGCGATGTAAATGGGACTTTACTGGCTGTTAACTGATCTCTTGATCGCTTCTTTAACATTGTTAGGTTCTTCAACCATAAAAGGCTGCTGTCCCTTGAACTACCTCAAACCAGACGCAGAGTTACGCACATACTATGCCAATGAAACGGAAGTTCTACACCAGGAAAGCATCGATTTTAAAATTTATATACACTATGCAAATTAAATGTTAGCATAATCTCTGCTTTATCCCTATTTTACATTAGTATTGATTTTTCTAAATGTGGAACTATCCAAAGTACTGCAATCCTCAACACAGGACTCTGAGTTAAGCAGGCACTGCCCACATTCATTGAAATTTCTGAAAAGCATAGATTCTTGAATTGTGCATCTATTTGCATATTCTGCACATTTCTCCTGTAGAATTGCAGCGCACATCTCTGGCTAACAGTACTCTAACACTTCAGGAACATGCCCATAGTACAGAATGGCGCTGTTGTGATATAACCAACTGCACACCTGAAAGGAGCTTACGAATCTAAACTTAGGCACGGTGCAGCAAGAAGAATCATTTGTCTTTGCGAACTCCCCCAGCTTCTGAGGAACTGAACACATCTATCCAAAGGACAAGCGGACTTAACCACTGTCTTGCCGCCCCATGCCTCCTCACCGTCTTCAGACCTGAACAGCTTGCCTTCTGAGCTTATCAACATGCAAGAGAAACAGACTGACTTGGGGCTCTGAGTTCTCCCAAGGCAATGCAACTCTCAGTGGTAACCCTTCCTGCAGTGACGTCAAGGTGCAGCTGCCAAAGGATTTGCTGCAATACAAACATGTCCACCGGGACACTGCATTAAAGAACGTAACCAAGACAGTAATCTTTCTTGGTGCAAAAGCAAATTGTACACCAAAACAGTCTGAATTCTGCACTGAATTCTGCCACGGCCACTTACACCACCGCTCCTTTGTAGAGAGAGACCGCTGGGGGGCTGGGTAACATCTTTCTATTACCCCGGCCTTCCCCCTGCTACACAAGATGTTAGGAGTCTATATGTGCATCCACAGAATTGATTTTAATCTGTTTTATAAAATCTGTGTTTTTGTATTATGCAATTTTGTATATCGTATGCACTTAGTGCCCTATGTGAGCCGCCCTGAGCCCTTTCGCGGGGAGGGCGGGGTATAAATGCAATACAATAAATAAATAAATATCTGGAAATCGCAGGGGCGCAAGAGATTCACAGCACTCAAAAATCCCAGCTCAGGTTTCAACAGACCTTTCTTACACATACCTATTTCAAACGTATTATCACTCCCGTGTGTACTTCTTAACAATCACAACGAAGACTGCTATTGTAGGGATGTTGAACTGTGCAGCCAATGTAATTTGGGTCCATATGTGGTGCAGTCGGTTCTGGTAACAAGGAACGTGTACGTTCAGAGTTTTTCTTTTGAGATCGATTCAGCAGTACTGGAACCGGCAATAAGAATACATCATTCCCATTCGGTTATGAAAACGTACACATATCTGAAACTGTGTTTATTTGTGCCTGGATAGACAGGAAAATCCTTTATGCCACTAGTATGCAGGCCCCACCAACTCCTTTGACTTTCTCTTCTGCATTTTCTGCTGAAGAATTTAGCTTTCACCAATTACAGGCTGTTTGGGCAGCTTCCCATTGCCATGGACTTTGTAATAGCCCTGGAAAAACAATGAGGCATTAGTACAAACTTGCATGTAAGTCCAGAGTGTCCTGAAACCATCAATGGACAGTGATTTCAATAACATTAATTGGCTTGTGTCTTTCCAAGTGCCAACGGAAGGTGTACAGATTTTCCCCACATTATCCCTGGTCCATCAGTCCCTTTCAAACAGTTGTTCCTAGGGAGACCTGCACGGACATACATCTGGGGGAAGGGCACCGGCAGAGGTGAAGAAAACAGCCCCCTTTTCCCACCCGCAAGCTATACCTTTACCTCATCCTGCTGCAGCCCCCTCCCCTATCTGTGCAGTTGTTTGTCCACAGAAGTCCAAGAGCCCCAGGAATAATCTTCCCTGGAACCGAACTATGTGAGCCGCCCTGAGCCCGTTCGCGGGGAGGGCGGGGTATAAATACAATACAATAATAAATAAATAAATATCTGGAAATAGCAGGGGCGCAAGAGATTCACAGCACTCAAATCCCAGCTCAGGTTTCAGCAGACCTTTCTCACACATATCTATTTAAAACGTATTATCACTCCCATGTGTACTTCTTAACAATCACAACAAAGACTGCTATTGTAGGGATGTTGAACTGTGCAGCCAATGTAATTTGGGTCCATATGTGGTGCAGTCGGTTCTGGTTACAAGGAACATGTACTTACCTGGCTGCTTCTTGCTCTGACTGAGGGCTGCTGGGAGCAGGGGGTGGGGCTTGTTGCATGTGCCCACCCCCTGGGCTCTTTACTGCCGGAGCTCTGCTCCTGTGCACTCCTGCAGGAAATGACCCCTGATGGCACGGACAATAAACCTGAAACTACGGTATCAGACAGTGATGCCCTCTCAACTTGGGGGAAGTCATTTTACCAAACCAGGGACTATGCATGAACTGCAGGAGAAAACCAGGGAAGTGCTGTTCACCACATGTGTCGAAGCATTTGTTCCAATACTCTTGAATCATAAAATGTTTAGGCAGACAAATCAGGCATGTGGCGCAAAGTCTCTTCCTAGCAATTCATATAGTCATCATAAAGGTAAAGGTTTCCCTTGCTCGAAAGCCAGTCGAATCCGACTCTAGGGTTGCGGTGCTCATCTCTGTTTCCAAGCCGAAGAGCAAGCTGTCCGAAGACGTTTCTGTGGTCATTTGGCCGGCATGACTAAACACCAAGGCGTACGGAACGCTGTTACCTTCCCACCGAAGTGGTACCTATGCCAGGTAGGCAGGAGCTTGAACTAGAGACGGGAGCTCACTCCGTCATGCGGCACACTCTGGTCTTGAACTGCTGAACTACCGACCTTCCACAGCCTGCAGTTCAGCGTTTTAACCACTTGAGCCACCGCAGCTCCATAGTTATACTGACGCTACATAGTGCGCTTAGACTACTGAGTGGTGAAATACTGGGATACCTAACTGGACCCGTATCATTCATTAACTACCCCTGTTTTTACACAAACAACAGAGTCTCAGTACAGGCAACCATGCTTCCTATACATTAGAAACAGCAAGATCAAATGTTTTACTTCTGATTTCCTGTTTTCTGAAGTGTCACAAAAATTGTTTTTCATTTACAATCTTCTTTTATATATATATATAGTTTATTTGTCATTTTCCATTATATAAAGCATACATAGCATAATCATTTACATATTTTGTTGTTTATATTACACATTTCCCCCCATCCATCTATCTAATTTTTGCCATCTTTTTTGGAATACACTTTCTTCCTTCCCTACTAGTATCATGTTTAATTTGTCCATTTCTTTTATTTCCAAAATTTTCATTGTTAATTCTTCTCTACTTGGAATGTTATCTGATTTCCACGATTTAGCTACAAGTATTCTGGCTACTGTGAGGACATATAATATCACCCTTTGATCATTATGTTTAATCCCCTCCGGTAACACATTAAGTAAATACACTTCTGGTTCTAACTTCAAATCTATTTCAGTTATCTCCAATATTATCTGTTTTATCATTTTCCAAAACTTGCAAACCTTCTCGCATCTCCACCAAATATGATAGTATGATCTGACATTTTTATCACATCTCCAGCAATTCCCTGAGACATTTTTATAACATTTAGCAATCTTATCTGGAGTCCAGTGCCATCTATAACACATTTTAAAAATGTTTTCTTTATACGATGTGGCTCTTCATTTACAATCTTCTAACTATTCAAATATTTACGGCTCTAAAATAGTAGAATTTTTCTTCCTCTTAAATGTGATAAGAGATTGCATTCGGAAACACAGACTAAGAGCTGACTGGACGTTTGATGACCATTTGCTATTTCCCCACTTTAACGAGAGGGTATAGGCTTGGACCTTGTGGGAAAAGATCCCCATGTGCAAGGGGGGGGCACGCACTACAGCAGCCCCCACACATTACAGCAGCCCTTCAGCTCCCACACACACACACGGCAATTGAGAGTCCCCCTATCCTTCAGGAGCAGCATTTGGGGGGCGGGCGCATTTCAGGCTGCAGCAGGAGGGGGGAAGCAGGGATGTCATGCTTAAAGGCCTTTCAGTATTCAACAATAAGTATAAAAGGAAAGTGGCTATGTACACCATTAAGGTATGCTAAAGAAGCAGTTTCAGAAAACCAGTGTTAATGACACTTACAGAGCGTACAACATCTATAACAGAAGCTAATCCAGATGTATTTTTGGCGTCGTTGAGCCTTGTTTGCTCACTAACAAGCGTCCAAAGTTTGTCTAGACTGACTGTGGGGCAGAAGTGCTGGTTCTTCTTCAAGGGGTAAGGTCTCATACCAACTTTTCCAAAATAACCAAGATGGCTAGAAGGAAATAAAAATGCAAAAACAAAGCCACTGTTTAATTCGCTACGAAATACAAATACAGAATGACCAACCTGGAAGCATTTATAAATAACACACGACACTAATTTTAGAGCCATCTGAAGAAGACATTATTTCTTCTTCATTTGCTGTCACACGTATCTGTGAGCGATCGGCCCTTCCTTAGAAAACTCTTAAGTCTTGACAGTTTACAAATTATTGTTACCAAGACATGCAACATCATCATCGTTCTGGTAACCCACACTTCTGAGTCTGGAAAATAGCCTTCTGTCACTAGCCAGGTGGCTGACTGTACTACAGCAAGGACAGTCAGTGAATAAAGGCCAGCTCTTACTCTCCGAGTACTATAGCACACCATGATAACTGACCACATCTAGATGTGACTCTAGTCTCGGTTGTCTGAGGATACATACCTTCTCATGCTCATTTATTAAGGCTGCCAACCTGCATTCACTTATTATGAAGTACATTCCACTGAATCTAGTAAGACTTACTTCTGAGCAATGCTCCCTCTAAGCTGTGGCGTCCTGTGAGCAAAAATTCCACTTTGTGAGCTACTGGCATTAAAGTCATGAGCGAGCAATTTTATTTATTTAAGCAATTTGGCCACTGCATAAATTAGTTTGCTCTGGAGCCCTCCTTCCTGAGCTGAGACAAAAATGTGTGAGCCGGAGGCTAAAAAACTGTGAGCTGGCTCACACTAACTCAGCTTAGAGGGAACACTGGTCCCTCGGCCTCCCAGGCCCCCAAAGAGATCTGCCAACGCGCCCCCCGCCCGGCCTCCCACCACCACCGGCTCTTCGAAACCCGGCCACGCGCCACCGCTACCCACCATCTCGCCGGGCTCGAGAAAAAAGAGAGAGAGAAAGAAACTCCCCTCTCTCGCGACACTTCATGCCACACGAAGGACAAGGTTGCTTCTCTCGCGCGATATCTCAACTCCAAAGGCTGGGGAGGGGAGGGGAAGCAAAGAGGCTTTTAAAAAGAGGTTACCACCACGTTGACGTCTGGTTCCGATTAGAATCTATGGGGGGGTGGGGAGAGAGTGGCGAAAGCCGTAGGCATCGATCTTAAAAGTTTCGTTAAAACTTGAAGAAGCTCTTTCTCGTTGCTTTGAAATAATCGCGCCCCGTTGACCCCCCCTTTCCAGTTACATCCCTCGCTGCAGGAACATAGTTGCTTATTTGTTGTATTGTCCCGGCGGGGCATGAAATCCCACCGATGTGGCCTTCAGCGCGCACTCTTTCTCCGACATCATCATGTATCTACAGGCTTCCCCTCGCCACGGTTTTAGCAGTGTCTTGTTTCGGAGGCTGCGTGCGTGCATGTGTTGATCTTTCCGAAATTCTGAAACAACAGAGATTCTATATGCCCACCCGGCGCCTGATCTATTTCTCTACATAAATGCCTACGTCGCTTTTCCACGCACATGGAGGTTTTAACCAACTACGATTGGAATCCGGAAGTCTTCCTAGAGAACCTAGACCGTTCATTGTTTAAATCTCGCGATACCCTGTCTTGGGTCTCTCCACTCGCAAGCGCCGCCGACCAATGAACGTGATCCTCTGACTAGCCTCTAACATAGATCCGGATGGCCGGTCGTGTTAGTCCGAAGCAGTAGAACAAATTGAGTCCAGCGGCACCGTTAAGACCAGCAAGGGTTTATTGAAGGCATGATGAGCTTTCGTGTGCATGCACACTTCACCAAATTTAATACATTGTCTGATAAAGTGTGCATGCACACGAAAGCTCATCATGCCTTCCATAAACCTTTGCTGGTCTTAACGGTGCCACTGGACTCTAAATTTGTTCCAGCCTCTAACATGGGACGGAAGGGGTGGGTGAGCGAGCGAGCGAGCATGCCTAGTTTGTTTAGTTTCTGAGTCTCAGAGCTAGTCTAAATTGTTGAGATGTTGGGCAAGATCTCTTTTGGTCTTGTACTGGGCGATTTGATTATAGAGAAGAAAGGGGGGGAACTTTCTTTTAAAAGGGAACAGTCACGTTTCAGGAAAACTAGTTCGGCTTAGCCAGTTTCTAGAAAGTTGTATTATTTTCTGACGAAGGGAGCTTTGACTCTTGAAAGCCTATATCCCACCAAATCTTGTTGCTCTGTAAGGTGCGGCTGGCCTGGAATCCAGCTGTTCTTATTCTCACGTCTCCAAATCAGTGTTCCTTCTAAGCTGAGTTAGTATGAGCTAGCTCACAATTCTTTAGCCTCCGGCTCACACATTTTTGTCTTAGCTCAGGAAGGGACGGCTCCAGAGCAAACTAGTTTATGCAGTAGCCAAATCGCTCACTCACAACTTTACTGCCAGTCGCTCACAAAGTAGAATTTTTGCTCACAAGACTCCACGGCTTAGAGGGAACATTGCTCCAAATTGTATTTGGAGTCAAGAGCACACTTAAGGGGCAGCGCTCCTTTCTCATGCTATGCCTGGCTAATGCCTCTCCTCAGCCTAAACAACTCTCGGTTGAGGTGAGGTTAGCTGTTTTTGCCATTTCTTAGCTTAGCTACCTTGCTCGTTTTGTATATAAAAGCCGGTTTGCTTATAACTCTTAATATAAACGTGCAGCGTTTCATTCAAGTCTCTAACGTTTTGTTGTCTCATTGATGAAAGGAAAGGCTAGCTAGATGCAACTAAGGGCTCATCCAGCAATCTTTCTCCAGCAATGCCTAGCCGTATGCCCTTGTCCTGGCTATGGTGACCAGCTGAGGATAGGAACTTCCAGATGGGGCCTGGAGTCCTCCCAGCATTACAACTGATCTCCAGAGTCAGGAGTCCAGACTACACAGCTCCGATTCGCTAGAGACAATGGAAGCTTTGTAGGGTGGACTCCATGGCATCACATCCCAAGTTCCCTTCCCCTCCCCAAACGACGCTCCCAAGGCACGACCCTAAATCTCCTGGAATTTTCCAACCCAGAGTTGGCAACCATACAGGCCATTTATTCCTGGCATCTAGCACTCAGATATGCTTTGTATGAATACGGAGGTTCCATTTTTAACTTATTGCACCTCAAAGATTGTCTTAACACTTTTCAAAATCCATCTGAACTAGTGGCCATCATCTGTATATCTTGTAATGCATCCTGAAGAACTTCCCGTAGTCTGTTCTGAACCTGCTGCCAAACAGTTTCGTTGGATGTCCTACGTCTAGTATGTCGAGATGGAGAGAAGTAGCATATAAAAACGTGGGTAAATACTGTGTAATACGGAGTGAGCTCCCGTCTCTAGTTCCAGCTCCTGCCAACCTAGCCGTTCGAAAGCAAGAAATTGCAAGTAGATAAATAGGGACCACTTCGGTGGGAAGGTAACAGCATTCCGTGCGCTTTGGTGTTTAGTCATGCCGGCCACATGACCACGGAAACATCTTCGGACAGCGCTGGCTCTTTGGCTTTGAAACGGAGATGAGCACCACAACTCTAAAGTCGGACTCGACTGGCTTTCGAGCAAGGGAACCTTTACCTTTAATACTGTGTGACAGAGACCAAGTAAAGCTGCAGTGTAATGCGCTCTTGCTTCAGAGTAATTCCCATTACACTGTGGAATTTACTATTGAATAAACATGCTTAAGGCCACAGTTGTAAGGCTTTCTATACAGCTGTAATACTTACTGTTATGTATCGCGATGGAACCGTATTTGCGAAAGGGCTCGCTAGTAAACGTGCGGAATAGCGTAGCTTGGAGCGCATCACAATAGGTTTGGATCCTAGAACGAACCAATAGATTGATCCAGATCCTAGTAGTAGCCAATTGGTAAACAATACTCTGTAAATAGCCTATCGTGGGATGTGTGGTGTTCCATGAATATAAGCAGGGCTCTGACCCTGCAAGTTTGTCTTAGTTTGGAGCTGAAACCACTTAATAAATATGGGCTAATCACTCTACGCATCTGAACCCAGTACATTTCACTTACTTTCTGTATTACTTTGACAAGTGGCTATGAGACGTCTGGTTACAATTAGCTGTCTCACGGAAACTCAGCTTCATCTCCCTGAACAGCAACAGAGGCTGTGTCCGTGGACGTGAGTTGGCTGGGATCCCCAAAGTGACGCCCATGACAATGCATATGATATCATCCTGACAGAGAGCCAGTGTGGTGTAGTGGTTGGACTTCAGATCCCCACTCTGCCGTGGAAGCTTGCTAGGTGACTTTGGGGCAGTCACTCACTCTCAGGGTGCGTTCAGATGGGGCATTTACAACGGTATAGGTGCCGGTTGGAATCAGTGTACTTACCCGCGTTCACACAGCGAACATCTGCCTTCCATTCCTAACCGTTGCAAAGAGCTTTAAACCGTTGTATTCTGCCACTAGGTCCCAAGTGGTGGTATCCTGAGTGCAACGGTTGTAATCACTTTACCCCACCCCACCCCGTCTGATCGCTCTCCACCGTTGTAGAGCCACTTCCGCTCCTATCAAAATCTAACCAGAATCCCCCATTATCGTACATGGTCACAAAGAGCTCTTAGGAGCCCTTCCGCGTCAGCACTGATGAAACAACGTTTTTCCCCCTTTCCACAAAGTGAAGACAGACGCTGCCAGATGAGGGTCTCACAGGCAGCTCAATATATTTCCTCTATATGCAAGGACACATTTTAAATATGTTAATTTGAAAGGAATCCTATTAAAGAGAGCTTTGGCTGGAAATGTTAATGCGCTGCTGTCAGAGTTGCCTGTGACCTTGCTCCCTGACACTTCGTGGCTGGCACGGCTCCCTGTTAGAATTCTAAACATGACTGCAGGTCCAAAAAGATTGGGGACCCCTGGTATAGGCTGTTGCAGACCCTTACGGGTTAATATGAACATAAGAGACGCCAATGTTGGATCAGGCGAAAGGCCCATCCAGTCCAACACTCTGTGTCACACAGTGGCCAGAAATACCAGGTGCCATCAGGAGGTCCACCAGTGGGGCCAGGACATTAGAAGCCCTCCCACTGTTGACCCCCCCCAAGCACCAAGAAGACAGAGCATCACTTGCCCCAGAGCCCCTATCGATACCTTGTGGCTAATAGCCACTGATGGACCTCTGCTCCATATGTTTCTCCAATTCCCTCTTGAAGCCGTCCATGCTTGTAGCCGCCACCACTTCCTGTGGCAGTGAATTCCAAGTGTTAATCACTCTTTGGGTGAAGAAGTACTTCCTTTTATCCGTTCTAACCCGACCGCTCAGCAATTTAATGGAGTGCCCATGTTAGGGCTCTTAAGATCATTTGACCCAAGTATCATACTTATATTCACCAGTTCAAAGTTTCCTCTAAGCTGCGCTAGGAAGGGCACTGGCACACAACATTTCAAGTGGCAACACAGGAATTGTAGCCTCAGCTCACAAACTGAGAAGGCATTTCCCCCTCCATTGGAAACAATGGAGGATGGGGTCACCTCCTTTTGGAGCCCATAGAATTGGACCCCTTGGTCCAATCTTTTTGAAACATTGGGGGGGGGTTGAGGAGAGGCACCAGCAGCTATGCTGCAAATTTGGTGCTTCTACCTAAAAAAACAGCCCTCAGAGCCCCAGATACCCTCAGATCAATTCTCCATTACAGCCTATTGGGTCCATTGGCTATAATGGTCTCCATTGGCTATAATGGAACTGGGGAAAAAATCAATTTCCCCCACCACACCCTTATTATGCTTTTCAGTATGACTTGTAAGCTGCCTTGAGTCGCAGGGATATAAATACTCGAATAAATAAGTAGTTTGGGCAGGTTGATAACATTTAAGCAACTTCCTGTTTGTTAGGTTAGGCAGGGTTCTAACAGTGATTGTTCCACCTCTGTTACATTTGACCTGAAATTTGTCATATTTCACTAAAAAAAAAAGTAGACTGCAAGAGTTCTCCCCCCCCTCCCCCCAGTTCTGGTATGTTTTCTAAGGCTCAGCACAGGGTGACAGTCTGAACT